ACACCATGTCTTTCTCTTCTTTCTCACAGTTTACCTGAGTCACCACCTGATATAAGAACTCCTTACTAGAATGTTTGAAGATGTTTGGTCCTTTGAGACCCATCAGATAAGAGAGAGACTTGGAAATAAAGTATAGATGTGGGCTTAGTATCATCAAAGGAAAGGCACTGCAAAAATCAAAAGGAACAACCTGTATTTTTCCACTAAATAAATTGATCTTTCTTAACCAAATGCTTTTTTTTTTTTCTAGAAGTGGATCCAAAATGTATATGCATAAAAATTTTGGCCATCCTGACAAATTATTTAATGTTTTAATGTTATCATGAGATTTGTAACTCGTTGCTAGTTTCTAGGAAACATAATTGTTATAGTATACTCTTCAACTTTAAAGTGATGTAAAAAAGATCAAGTGAGAAATTCTCCTTACCTTCTTCATCATAATTACGGTAGCTGAAAATTGCATGACACAGTTTTCTATCTGTTCCTTATCAGTATAATAATAGTGCAGGGGTTGTTGTTAGGTGAAGGGCTGGGCCTGCCTGACTATTCCAATCTTGTCTTGGTTAACCTGTTAATTTAAAGAAGTAACAACACTACTGTATTGCACAGGGAACTATACTCAATATCTTGTAATAACCTATAATGGAAAAGAATCTGAAAAAGAACATGTTTATATATATATGTATATACACACACACATATATATAAGGATCTGAAAAAGAATATATATATGTATATATGTATAACTGAATCACTTTGCTGTATGCTTGAAACTAACACAACATTGTAAATTAACTATACTTCAGTTAAAAAAAAAGAAAGAACAACAGCTATCTGACTGCTTCCCATTGGTAAATGGAAGCAAAGTACAACACAACATGAATCTGTGTTCTCAGAGAGAGGGAGTCTTTAGGACAGTGCAAAAGCCCTGTGAATGTGGGAATCGGTGTGGCAATGGGGGGCAAACTGGAGGACCTTTAAGATCCCTTCAGTCCTTGAGATATAATTTCCACTGCAGAACTGTGAGGAACAGAGAGGTATACTTCTGCTGATTATCAAGCTAGTGGAACTGCGTTCTTCACCAGATAAACGCCATCTCCTGTAACATCCCCAGTGATGGAAGAAGCAATGACAGTCCCTTTCCTGTATTAGTTAGGCTCTGGAAAGTGAGCAAAAGACATCGCAAGGATATGATCCTTTAAAATTTATATAGGTTAATTTCACCTTCTCCACCTTTGCTAAGGGGAGGAATAGTTCTGTTCTGAAGCAAAAAGTGAACATTACCAGTCCCTTCTGATTTTTGCCTCTTGATTCAGAGGGCTAATTCATAATGATTGACTTTATCTTGCCTCTTTAAATTGACTGAATTGTCCTTTAATCATCAAGTTTCCTATTAATAGCTTTACTGTGCAAGAGAAGCAAACTCAATATATAATTTAATGGCTCCTCCTGTCAAGGGCACTACTGATTGTATTACTAATGATTTTGAAATAATATGCCATTATGCAAATCCCATTCATTTTAGGCATCTTTGCCAAGTACCTACGGAGGTACTGTTTTCTTTCCCTTCGTAAGTTGAATTTCCAGTGTCATAGTTATCCAGTACTGAAACGTTTTCTAAGGATTATGATCCCAGTGAATAGCGATAGTCTGCTGATAAATTTTATGTGCTTATTTTATTATACAAACAAATTGGGTGGGACCCTATATTTCTCACATTAATCAGCTACTCAGAATGTAGAAAATAAACCTATAGCAGATTAACTTCACCAAGGATAAGAAACACTATGTTATTTGGGTTTTTCTATTTATTTGTGAATAAGTGGTCATGTTGCCCTTTGGGAATGAAACTGGGAGCCTTTCCTAAACAAATGCTCGCCCTATTAGCAAGACTACTACAACCATCTCCACTGTGCTTTCTTCATTTCTACAATCTAATAAAATATGAGATGTGAGATAGATTGGAAGTACAAGATGGAAAAAGATAAGTCAGATGTTTTAAAGTAATATATGCAAGAGCATTGCAACATGTACCCTACCATGAAGTGCCTTGATTATGAATTTGGGGCCACTGGGGCCAGAAGACGATAGCAGGGCCCTTCTAATGCCCACCAATGTTTTCCCACCCATGGTCATATTATGCTGGTGACTTTAGCAGAGAGGTACAAGTATAATTTATGATTACAAGGCAGTAAGATGGAAATTAATACCTAAACCCATAAGTTGCATGACAAAGAGGGTAGACATTTGGCAGGTTTCTGAAGAGTAAATTTGATCTCACTTATAACATCAAGTTCAGTTCTGAAATTAAAAACACACATATCATTTCTTACATCTTCTTGCGCTTTCTCTAACATTTTGTGTTTTTTGGATATTGAGGAATGATCAGATATCCTGGTGTAGTCAGGGCAGGCTGTACATATATATACAGCCTGCCCTGACTACACCAGGGTACTTATATATATATGTATATATAAAGTAAATGGGTGAATTCCAGAAAAATAGTTCTAGAAGTTAGACAGGAACTGTTCACTATACACACGTGGTTGGACTTTTGTCGTACTGTTGGTAGTTTTGTAAGTATCTAATTGCTCTTAAAAAATGATTATTGCTTTAGTCATTGACAGCTGCTCATCTGGCCTTTGAGGACAGAGCTGAGATAGAAAGGCACCGTCATGCGCTCCAACCCCTTAGTAGTGAGAAATGGTGATGTGAGCGCTATGGGGGATGTTCTTTAGCTGAGGAGCAGCGAGGAGGTTATGAGGCTCCCCAGAATCAGAAGCAATCATTTGATCTCACTTAGCATTAGGGGCTGGGAAATTCAGAGAATTAAAAGCAACTTCTACCTTTATTCTCCTTCATACAAGAAAAGAAGACTGGTGCTCTTTGGCTTGCATAGGTCTAAATGAAACTTGAGGGCTTTGATCAATATTGAAAAAAAAAAGGTTATAGACTAATTTCCTTCCAGAAGACCTAGAAAATTCCACCAAAACTAAATAATGTCCATGACATTAAAACTGTGTGTCTTTATGAAGTCATTGTTTTAAAACCTTTAGTCAGGGCTTCCCTGGTGGCGCAGTGGTTTAGAGTCCGCCTGCTGATGCAGGGGACATGGGTTCGTGTCCCGGTCCGGGAAGATCCCACGTGCCGCGGAGCGGCTGGGCCCGTGAGCCATGGCCGCTGAGCCTGCGCGTCCGGAGCCTGTGCTCCTCAACGGGAGAGGCCACAACAGTGAGAGGCCCACGTACCGCAAAAAAAAAAAAAAAAAAAAAAAAAACCTTTAGTCAGAAATGTTCTTGGCCAATGGTACTGAACAAAAAGAATATTTTCAAGGACAAACAAGTGTTTGGGGGCTCTGAATAAGTTGTAATACATGAAGTGATTAAGCCCTCATTAATTAGAAGGTAACATTAAATTTCTTTTCAGAGTCATCAGGTCTTGTGGGGAGTTGAGATTTGCATAATATTTGCATTTGTCCTACCTACCTGTCAATCACAACCACAGGATAAGGCAAGAAGCTCTAAAGGATGGATTACAGGAAGAATTCTTAATGAAATGCCTTGGTGTATCGGTGGAGTTCGAAAGTAGGGTAGAGTGTATTTTGTCAAAGTTGAAGGTCAGCTTCAAAATAACTAGAAAATAACTAGAACATCATGACTCCCCACCCCCACCTTAGGAGGCTTCCATCTTTAGAAAGACAAACAAAACATGAACAACTTCCCCTTGTGATCTAGGTGGAAAATCTGACTCACCTGAAAAAGAGTTTGAGTCTAGGACATTGGGTGGGGTAAGATAAAAGACTTTTATTTTATTTTGTGATGCTCTTATGCATTTATTATTTTAATAAAATTTTATGGTAAAAATGTTATGTTTGGAAATACAGTAAAGCAGAATGAAGGCCCCCAGAAATGACCCTTATGCCTGTTACTCAGATATAACCTCTGTTCATATTTTGATGTGGTTTACTGATTTGCTTCAAAGGGTTGAATTCCAGAGCACAGCTCAGACAATCCTGTGGTTAAGGCATTTACTAAATAAATCTATTTTTCTTTTCTTATTATTGTGATCTATGTTTTTCTGCTTCCCATGATGATGATAAACCTAGTAGTAGTATGAATGCTGTATTTTGGCTGAAACAATTCTGTGGTCCTGGGCAGGGCAGCTGTGCATTGGGTGACCTTTCCACTCTCTCAGACCCATCCCACACCCATTCTGGAAGGACAGTCTCACGGTCCAGAAGTTTCTCAGTTGCCGTTTGTCTGGAAGTGCCACTCGTTAACCTTGCTTTCCTCTTCTCTATGTTCCTTCTCTCCTATTTCCTATTCCCCTTGTTCGTCAATTTCTATTCTTCTCTGTTTCAGCAAAACAATATCAGTCAAGGTAATTGATGATGAGGAGTATGAGAAAAACAAGACCTTCCTCCTTGAGATTGGCGAGCCCCGCTTGGTGGAGATGAGTGAGAAGAAAGGTGGGGGAACTGCTCCAGGGCTGAGCCCAACAGCTTCTGCTGGCCTGTGCCACCCCTGGATGCCTGCACTCTCCAGAACGTGACTTACAATGCACACATCCCTCCACCTATGTAACGGGGCATAGATCTCCTCTGGGGCCACAGGGAGCCCAGCCTGGAGCTCCAGTAGCCAGTTTGGGCCACTCTGCACATGGCAGTCTGAGCTACTCATTGTCAGTGCGGTCGAGCCTGGGAAAGTTGGTGCTGATGCTTCCTGCACCCACATGAAGCTGACTTTCTGATTTCTCTTCCTAATTTGGGATACCTCCTGACTGCTCATTGAAGCAGGAGGAATTTGTAAAAATGATGGATTGGCAGAGGAAACTTAACGGGGCCAGCTGAGAGTACCTGGATGCCCTTTTACATACTCCTGGAGGTCCATGTGTGGCCAGTTCTCCTTCCATAACATCACAGTAACATGCTGCTTGGTGAACACCTAGCATGAGCGTGTGACTCCAACCATTTGTTTTGCCTTTGTCTTGTGTTCCCACAGGAAGATCATTACCATTAGAATATTTGACCGTGAGGAATATGAGAAAGAGTGCAGTTTCTCCCTTGTGCTTGAGGAACCAAAATGGATAAGAAGAGGAATGAAAGGTGTGAGAGTATACAAAGACATACCAGCGAGAAATTGTACTCTTCTCTCTGTGTCTCCTACTCTCACGTTTAACTCTCTCCTCTTCCTCGGCTTCCAAGTACTATACTTCCTCTCCTTTGAAGCTTTAGCCATTTCATTTTCCTGCCCATATTCACAATGCACCAAACAATGCCCCTTTTCTTCAGAAAATGCCAGCTCACCTTGATTGATACCAGATTCCAGAAATACTGGAAGAGATTTCTGTAATTCAGAAGGGATGACATAAAAGAATGATTTCTGGGTTTAGTTTTTCACTATTCAGGAATCATTCTAAAATTTGATTCTAGCTATTAAATATCCCCTAAAATGTTAGTGATGGAGACTACTTAATGCCTATTAGAAATGGTAGATGGGTCTAATGGCAACTAATAGGAAATTTCAGAAGAATTCAATAATTAGTCTAATTTAGAGAAGCCAGTTTTCAAAAAAAAAAAAACAAACTTAGAACAAAGATCCTTAAAGAGTAGTGGCATTAATATCCTAGTGTTCATTTTGGTAAAATATTTTTCATATCATCAGATATGATATTTAAAAGAGACCATATGTATGAAACCATGGTCATATCGATTTTCTTTAGTAGGAAGGATATGGTAGTTCAGTAAGAACTTAGCCCTTACTTAAAGCCGTTCCTGTCTTATGCTTCAAAATCTTTTGATTCTTGTAGAATTGACACATTTCTAACATATAGAATTTTTTTCTAAAAATAAAAAATAAACAGCAGTATCCTTATAATTAGATTTTTGTGTTGATTTGTGTTTATATTTTTAGAAACTATTTGAAGAAAGAAGCCATATTTTTTGCTGTCTTTGATTTTATATCTATTTTATATGGCCTATAGTTGAGAAGGAAGGACAGGAATTTTATATCAGCTTTAAAAATAGTTTTTTTATTCTGAATTATTCCGAGGGCGTTCCATAATTATCCTCTAATAGTGGTCATTTTATTTTGTTTGTTTGTTTTTGTTTTTTGCGGTATGCGGGCCTCTCACTGCTGTGGCCTCTTCCGTTGCGGAGCACAGGCTCCGGAAGCGCAGGCTCAGCGGCCATGGCTCACGGGCCCAGCTGATCCGCGGCGTGTGGGATCCTCCCAGACCGGGGCACGAACCCATGTCCCCTTCACCGGCAGGCGGACTCCCAACCACTGCGCCACCAGGGAAGCCCTAGTGGTCATTTTAAAAGCAATGGTATACACTTAATTATATATATATATATAAAATGAGCATAGTACCTATTAATAGCTCTTATTAATTGCATTTAAACCATTGATGAAGGCAGTATAGATGATTAGGTGACCACTTTGCAAGAAATGTAAACTTTTACATGTAAAGAAAAAAAATCAAATACAAAGGACTAATTCCTATACAGACCCAACATTTGGGGGAATTTAACTAATCCCACTTTTGTAAGAACTCACTGGCCTCAGAGTCCATCAGAAAACAAACAAAAACGAAGTTGTCCTGACTTAATCATGTTCAAAAAGGTAACAGGAGCCTTTGGAATGATGGAGAAAGGAGCACTGGGGACCCATTTTAATGCAGCCTATTTAATATGCTCCACAGACAGCAGGCGGAAGAAAAAGACACTAGAAAACTGTGCCGATTTCTTACAAAGATGGGATCAAAAATGCCTCATTAACATACAGGAAAAAGCACTTACTTCTGAATGCAGTCCTCCAAAGGACTGCCTTTCATCTCAAGGAAGAGCATCTTGAATACAGCTCTTTCAATTGTCATTTTGGTAAAGTATGCCTTCATATAAAAGCAAATTAAAATTCCTTGATAGCACTATTTGCTTTTGACACCCAACAAGTGGATCTGTGTCACCATAAATAAAATTACTGACTTGTTTTATAAAGTATCCTCTAATGCCACTACCAGTAGAGAGAAAACTGGTCCTGAAAAGGTAATTGTAACTTTCCCATCTACAACTCTAGAAGTAATTTATTTGATACATTTAGTCAGGTAGCTTTCACCAGAATAAAGTGCTACAGCTATAGTCTGGGTTTAAAGCACAAAACCTGAAAGACAAATTATGTATGTCAGGCCCCACACCCCACCTCCGCTGCCCCAGGCCTTCCCTCCCTGTCTTGTCAGTTTCTGTGGAATTATGTGTCCACAAGAAGCTATCTGGTTGTCGGATTATACCGTGCAGGTCATAGATAAAGACACACAAATAAGCACTGATTCCTGGGACGCAGATTTTGAGGATTTAAAAAACATAAGCATTCCCTGCTGACCAATATACCATGCAAATAGAACCTCCAGCAGAGAACTTCATCTTGGGCCAAAGTCTCCTTATGGGCGGGGCGGCCAAAATGGAATTTCCTAAGATGTTTTCTGTTTCCATTGAAAGGTACAATCCCTGAGATCCTGGATGCTTTAAGACTTCCATATGTTGAATTCGCTAACAGCCAGGCACTTATTTCAAGAGGAAGGCTCACTCAAATAAGGTTTAGGATTAACTTCATAAAATATTTCTACTATATTTGGCAAACTAGATGTATAGACTGTGTGTAAACATACGGTAGAAATGTTTTCTTAAATGTCAAGAAATAATATATAAAGTGAATTGTTTATATATATAGAATCAGTCACACACGTTTGCAGAAATCAGTTCTGGGATCATCTGGAAATACTCCCAATGCCACATTAACTTGGCGTGCACCAATTTTTTAGTAGCAGCTCCCTACCACTGTAATCAGATCTGCCTGGATTTCTTTCTGCTGATATTCCTCTTACTTTCATTATTCATCTGGTCTCTTATTCTGTGTTTGTCTTTGTCTGTTTCCTTCACAGCCCTGTTATTGAATGAGCTTGGTAAGCATTTCATTTCTTGCATTTCCTTTCCATTTTTCTAGGTTATTTTCCATTTCTGTCAGGTGCTACAGTAGCTTTCTGACTTATTTTTTATTTCTGCTGATTTATTAGCAAGATTGTTGTTTAGAGCCATGGGCCTCATAATTTTGTGAAGGTTGGGTAGTTTACATTCTGCTTTGGGTTCAGTATGACCTTTTACAAAATCAGTGCTTTCTTAGGTATGCACAAGAATTAAATTTGTACACTAAAGCTCATAGTCTTAAAAGATTGATTAGCGATTAAGTCATGAATGGATGTTTTCATATTTTTCTTAATTGTATATACAATTTGGCAAGTTTTTGTACTTTGGACAGGCTGTCAGGCGGTCTGAGGTCACTGGTATTTGTTATTTAGAGTGTAAATGAAATGAATTGTAACATTTCTTTCTTTTTTTCTTTTTTAGGTGGCTTCACAATAACAGGTATGAATTTTTTAAGTCTAATGAACCAAATTTTATTTTGTACCGTGTGTTGTTTACATTTTTAAAAATTATTTCTCATTTTTATTTCCCTTTAATGAAGGAAAATACCTGTATGGTAAGACAATTTTTTAATGTTCTTCATTTTCCCCCAAATACCCTTAATTATCAAACAAAAACCACATCTTACGTGCCCTGCATTAACGTTTAGCTGTGACACATGGTGTGCTTTTGCTGATTTTACACATTTAACATTTTACATATTAACAAGGTGTGTGCTGTGTTTACTTATAAGCAGATTTGTGTGGAGAACCTGTAATTGGTCATATTTTGACACTGATCAATTTACAGATGTTCTCATAGCACTGATGATGTGAGTGTACCTTGCTAGATGCTCCAGAGAGTACCAGAATAAATAAAACGGTTGCTCGTCTCAAGGAAACAGAGGAGTTGACATACAAGCCCACTCCATGGCCCAAGCTCAGGGTCCTAATCATAGATAATGCCCTACTGGGAGAAGATAAAGCATGCCTTCCCCTCATCCCACCACACCAATCTGCGAAGTTTTAGCATTCTTAATATGGTAATGAGTACTATGTCTGCCACTTGCAGTGGATTACAAAGTGCTCTGTAAAAACTCAAAATGTCAGTCAAAAAGTTTAAAACCCTTAATTTCATAATGGTACCCAGCCGCTGTTGATTGCATTTTTTAGCCAGCACGACTCTAAAGCTATTTCCTTACATAGAGAAGAAAGATATTTCCTTACAGCATCCTCTCTTTTGACCCTAAATATTTTCTCACCCTTTCAGAATCATCTATGTAGATTTAGAGAGGGAGATACATATCAAATGGTAGGCCTGATTTGTCTGAAGCTGCAGGTTGAAGATGTCCTTAAAGGCCATCCTAATGGCCGTGGCATTTTCCAATATAATTATGCAGATATCTATATTCTAATTATTTTTTTCTGAAACCAGATAGCTAAACAAAATATTTAGAAAGGAAATATTTTCAAACATTCTAAGTTTGAAAATGTTATGGTGTGGGGTGGCGTTAACTTAAACCACCATCAGTGTAAACTCATGATCAAGAAGTTTCAACATGATTCCGTCCAAAGCGGAACTTTCTGAACGCGTCCAGTTTCACATGGGCTATTGCCCTCCACTTCTTCTCTCCAGACACGGCATTTAATGACAAAATGATTCATAGACTCTCTGAGACATAGAAATTGAAAAGGATAAAAATATTAAATAGAACAAGTGCTCATAGAGGATTTCTTAAACCTGATTCACCTGACACTCTCCTAGGTCAAGTCTTCCAAATTCTGCGCTGCCAAATATGCTATTTTTGAATCCGAGTGAAGGAATTTACATTTACTTTTAAAACTTTAATCTTCCTTTTTTCATCCCATCATTTTAACTTATTGAAATCTTTTTGGAAATATTCTGATTCTATCACCCAGTAAGTTAATGATCCTTGTGAGCTTTGAGGAAGGTAGAAATTTGGCAAGCCAGTCTTCATGGCTTCCTTGAAGTAATTAAAAAAAAAAAGTCACCCATTTGAGGAATAGTATAGTATCTACAGCTCCCTCAGCCCTATGCAGCCTGATAATGAGACCTTAACTAAAAACCTTTAGTGGTAGAATGCCTTGTTGAAACGCATTTATGTGTTTGGATAGCTTCCTGTTTTATCATTGAATATGTCAGGAGTTTGCTTTTAGGGCCTTCCTTCCATTGAAACATCTTCCTTTTTAGTAACTAGGTAATGGGACCCTAATTTTCTTTTCTCAGAAATTGTTCGTATCAAGTTCTAGAATACCCCACCAGTAACGTCCAACATTTTCTGTCTCGGACACATCACGCATCCAAGAGGACAGAATCACTTCTTTCAAAGGTTTTCTATTACTTCATGCACTTCATTAAGCTCTTTCTTATAGTTTGAACCTTAATCTTCAATAGCAATTTTCCTGTTTTACCTCCTCTTCCCAAAACCTGAAATTGATGCAGTTAAAATGAGAGAAAGTTGCAGAACCCTGTGGGAATTTCCACATTGGCCTGTTCCTCTCACTTTACATGATCCTTCTTCTCCGGAACCAGGCCAGAATGCCTGGGATCCACTCTCTATAGATGCCTCTGGGGAAAGTTCTAAAATTTAGGTCTATACAGTGAAAACCAGCTGTAAGGCCTGGAGAGCTTTTCTTTGAAGTCAGTTTGAGGCTTTGAAGTCAACGCTTTGAGACGCAGGGGCAGTAAAGGAAAATTCATCTAACTCTTGGACTTTGCCTGCAGCTTTTATGCAGTCTTGTGCAGCTAAGTGTGAAAATCTAAAGTTGAAGCAGGATATATGGAAATTGAAAACGTCATTTGGTCCACAACCCAGTACCTCTATTTCAGAGGTGTCATTAGTGATGGACATTAAATGCTGGAGGTGCTTTTGGAATTTGCAAATCTTCACCTGTTGCTCTCAGACTTTGCCTCATTGAAAGGCCCTTGTTGGGACCTGTGATGTAATTCCCCCTTGACCCTCCAGGCACATAACATGATAACCCCCTATACATTATAGCTCATACGAATTTGGAAAGTATTTCTTATTCATTATATCATTTAATCCTCAACCTTATGGAATAAGATCTTTTGTTCTCATTTATAGGAGAAGAAATGAAGGTTCAAAGGTGATCAATCTACTCCAGTCATCCAGCCAGGGCTCAGAGCCCGGCCCCCTAACTTTAAGTCCAAGGCCATGTGATGACTACCTTAACCCAGCACTTTTAGTTCCTTTCTCCCAACTTGTATATTCCTACCTGCATCTCAATCCCTTTTCGATCCAAAGCCTCACTATGTCTCTGAAATGCCATCAGTATGAATTCCAGTCAAATGAAAAATGAGGAGGACCCCAGAAGGGGGAAACTAGAGTACATTAATTTGGATATTTTTAACAAAATTAAGTATTCTGGCTCAATTTGGAAAAATAGAGGCATGTTTCTGTCCCCAAACAGGCAGCAAAAAAGTTCCCTAATTAATTAAAAGTATGTAACAGTCAGTATACCTTTTTAAAAGTTACTCTTCCCGGGGCTTCCCTGGTGGCGCAGTGGTTGAGAGTCCGCCTACCGATGCAGGGGACATGGGTTCGTGCCCTGGTCTGGGAAGATCCCACATGCCGCGGAGCATCTGGGCCCGTGAGCCATGGCCGCTGAGCCTGCGCGTCCAGAGCCTGTGCCCCGCAGCGGGAGAGGCCACAGCAGTGAGAGGCCCGCGTACCGCAAAAAAAAAATAATAATAATAAATAAATAAATAAAAGTTACTCTTCCAATCATATTACGCTCATCACGTGAGTCTTCATAACGCACATGGCTTTTTAAGGAAGCCAAGCTATGAAAATTCCGACAGTTAAACACACTTTAGTCACTCCAGTATATAGGTTAGAGAAACAAATCCCCTTCAAGTTTGCCTTCATTGTACAATTGAGAAAACTGAATCCCAGAGAAAAGAAACACCTTTTGCCCAAGTTTAGATGGAAAGCATATGGCAGAATTTGCAGTCCCAGTCTCATGATTCCAGGTCAGTTCTGGGATCTCTTGGTAGAAGCGAAAAGCAGGTAGTCAGTTGAACCAGGAGTTTCATGAAAACCCTAAACTAGGTAATCCAGCCAGTCACTGTGACAATGGTGAACCCTTGTAAAACCTTCCAGTGTGTACAACCTTCTCCCATTCAGACTGCCAAGGAAACAAATAAGCATGTTCCCTGATGTTATGTTGCTTGACCCTCACACAGACCTGTGATATGGACAGAGCAGGCACTATTATCTCCATTTCACACATGGGGTAACTGGAGAAATGGCCTACTTAAGGCCATGTTGTTGGCACCACGAGGCTGCCTGTCATCACACCGAGTGCTTTTCATTGTTCCGTGATGCCTCTGGAAGCAGGAACTTGACGGGCATGGATACTCCATCTCAGACACCTGCAGGAATCTGGCTGCAACCCTACTGTGGGGTGTGTGCTTTATTCACACAATCTGATTGGACTCCTAGAACACCTGCCCCGTTTATTTACTTGCTCACTTCTTCAACCTACATAACAGTGACCGCTGACCACTCAGTCCCCAAACTAACATTGCTTGCACTGGGTGCATCTGGGGGTGACATTCAGCTTACTAATTCCACAAAGCTCTTCTGGCAAACCAGTGCAATCCAGTCTGCTGACTTTCTGCCTGTCCTTTTGCCAGGCCAACCTGTCTTCAGGAAAGTTCATGCTAGAGAACATCCGATCCCCTCTACTATAATCACCATCGCAGGTACTCATTTCATCACGGTCCTTGAAAACCACAGTTTAATTGCCTTCAAGGGTTCTTTCGGTCTTTCGACATTAAAGTGACACAGTTCACCCCCATTACCTCTAAAGCATTGCTACACAATGCCGTGGCTTCTCTGCAGTTGGGGGTATGATGAGTCAGCAACAAGACACCACATCAGCCCAGGACGGGACGCATGGTGGAGGGGGAAGCATGGACCTACAGAGAAGATTGAGTCCAATAGCCTCTCAAGTTTCAGTATACTCCAGATTTCTTGCAAATCTCGCTTCTTCAACATGGGTCTTTCATTGCAAATGTCATGAAATGTCTTTAAAAGCAAGTTGTCTCTCTTCCCAGAGTCTGCCTTTCCTTCCGCCAGGCAACATGATGTTAGGCAAATATGCACAGCTGACAGTACATCTGTGGGGTTTCTCCAGAGGGGAACATTGACAGGGTGACTAAAGGATGACAAAGCTATCCCAGATCGACTGTACGATTAGAGCCCGGGTGTGAGCCCCTTGCCTTAATTTACCAAGCTCTGGATAAGGACACGGATACTCACTCTTCAGTTGTCACCATCGCCCATCACTGGTCATGGCTGCAGAAACACTTCTGCCTGCTGCAGTGAGACTTTGCTCGTTCTCGCATCCCACACTCCCATTCAGTAATCATGCAGCCCTGACTGCAGAGTTGTTCCAGAATATTCCTCATGGAAATAAAGTACCAGTCTCTTTAGGTTCTAATCAAACAGACCAGCCAGGTGCTGAAAAAGAGATCTCCGCTCTCAGACTTGTCAACACAGATCTGAGTGAAGGATTAAAATAACCACAAGCAAATTGTCCCACCACTGGCCTTGTACCCATTTCCAAATTTTACATTGTGTGTTGAGACAAAAAATTGCAAATGCATTCACGAATATCCACAGTAGCTCCTCGGGTGCAGATCTCCACGTGGGTTGTATTGTTTTCTAATAGAGATTCGTGTTCTCAGCCCTTCACCTCTTACAGTGATGCGGCTTCCAAATGCAGCCTGATCAAGAAAGCATTAACAGCAGCTTTTTCATGATTCTGCTTTTCCCAGATCCCTGGTACCTATTAGCTATTGTGATGTGTCATTTGCAAAATCAGTTACTCAGGGGAAGGGAGGACCCCTACCAATGATTTCATCACAGGATTGTTTTCTGTCCTGTCAATACTGATTTTAACCATGGCCGTTAATTATGCATTTGATCTTTAAGTTGGGTTGGTTGGTTAAGACCATGATGTTATATAATTTATTATCAACTTCTCAATAAAATATGATGAGTTTAAAAATATGTACATATATATGTACATATACAGATAAACAGGATTACATAGAGAATTTCCTCTACCTGAGAAGCAGAACTAAAAGCACAGCATATGCATAAATAAGGAAATGAAACTGACTTGGCCACAGTAAAATGAACTGCATTTGATCCAGCACTCAAAGTGAAAAAAAAATAGGTGATCAAAAAATGTGCCGTTAAAACGATTTCCCTATTCAATAAAAGATACCTAAAGAGAAAACACTTTAAAAAAATAAGCTTAGCTCTCTTCTTTGCCAGTTTCAAAAATCTGGATCACAAATACTAATTTATCTGTATCATTATAGAGCAATAGAAGGATTTATCCAGCTGTCTTCTCTCAGTTACATATAAGTACAATTATCTCTTAAATGTTCACGATGTTTATTAAGTGAAAATATCCCTGACCCTACCATGACACTAGGCCTTTGTGCTTTGACTTCTTTCTGCCTGGAATGCCCCTCCTTCCTCTATTACCTCCTAGCCAGCCTTCCCACCACCTTCACCTGGCAAGCTCCTATACATGCTTCAAGGCCAATTTCAAATATCTCCTCTTTCCTGAAGCCTTCCCTGACTCCTTTGGTCAGAGGGAGCTACTCCCTGACCCTGGACCTTCAGCCCCTACCTTGCTGTACTAGAAGTTGTCCCATCTATATGCCTCACTTCCCGCTAGACCATGAGTTCCCGGAAAAAGAGGCGGGGTGGGAGGGGCCTCAGTATGCTGACATAGTGTAGGAGTGCAATGACGTGTGAAATGAACACATGGTCTTTACTATATGCATAGAGCAAAGAAGAGGCTTGTCTAACAGTGAGTTGGACAGTCACATGACAAATACTTATTGGGCACCTACTACTTTCCATACATAGTAATAGGCTCTGAGGGATATGAGGAAAATCCAAAGAGCAATGAGACATATTGTTCTATCTTGGTAAGTTTACACGTTGGATATCTGTATGTAAAGGTAGTTTAAATATTAAAAAGCAGTATATTAGAAGTGTCCACGTTTAATATGTACACACAACAAATATTCAGAATTAATTTAAGGTTAGAGTGGTCATTCCTAAATAGGTCAATTGAGGGATATTTCATGCGAGAAGAGGTAGGGTTTTGAAAGGTAAGTAGGATTTAGCTAGATGAAAATGGGGAAGGTTTTCCAGATGGGTAGACGGTGGAATAAAGTATGGCATTAAATTCAAGTCTAGCTTGGAGCAAGAATGTAGAAAGTGATAGAAACAAGGTTCCTGCTTTTCTTTAGGTTAGTATAAAATCTGTTTAAATATTAATTCCTAAGATTTTGTTCTTTCTCATACCTCTTTTACAATATTTCCTTAGGCCGCATACCAACTATGCTATTATTTACTTCATGCAATTTTTTGCCTCACGTTTTTACTTCACTAGATTTGTTTAAAAAAAAAACTTTAAGTTACTAACACTAATAGAAAGCCTGTATTTATCACATAGAGAAAGTAAGGTTAAAATTTTTAGAATGAATAAAGTTATTACTTCTAGCTCAATGCAGTCAAATGCTCTATGCCTGAGAGCTATTTTCTCTTTCGTAAATGGTAGAAACCCTAATGTCAAGAACTAGTTACAGACCTGACAGCACCAAACTTCTTCATCATAAGGACTAAAGGAGGATTAAAAAGGGAATAACCTTTTCACTCACTATGTGATTTGATTTCATTTACTACCATGTCCGTTCATTTAATACCATGTTCCAAATCATTTCATTTTGTGAAATGCGGCTTTCAACAATGCCACTGCATCACCTTTCTTTCATAATTTCTCTATTTTTTTTACCTAAATTGACTTGAATCCCATTAAAAGCAACTTCCCATTTATAAGTAAACTATTAAAAGGGGGACATAATAAATATTCTCCCCCAAATGGCTTTGTAATTCAAATTAAAATCTAAGTTGTAATAGTTTTTCTTCTGGAAAAATAATTCTTATTTGACTAAGTCTCTAAAATATCCATGTTCAGCCAGGGTTATGAACAAAGTCACTAATATAACCTGCTCCTACGAAAACTCTAATAACATTTTCCTGGGCTTAAGATCAGAAAGCAGTGGGAATCAAAATACGATTGGTTTGAGCATTGGATAAATGGGACTTCACACACCTCAGCTCACCCCCCTGACTCTGCACACGTAATTTCAAGGGCAAGTCATGGGGACACCAATCAAAAACCTTTGCCTTCCCTTGGGTCATAATCTCCCAAGCCTACTCTGAGAAATATTATAACTTTTACCATTAAAAGTAACCTACTTGCACCTCTCTTTTGCATCTGCTAACACTTAGCAGACTTTGGCTAGTCCAAGATCGCTTATTTTTAGTCTTCTTCGAATTTCTTTGGGGCCCTGTAATTACTGGGGGTAGGAAAGCAGATTCTGAAATATATTTTTAGGAAGACACTATTGAATACATAGTAAAGAATTCTTTGATACGCTACCTTCTGCGTTTGCCTTTTGCTTGGTTTGGACACTTCGTATGTAAAATGCTAGCAGTGCCTCTAGCCCAACTGCTCCATGGCTCAGTAATCAACAACTGGCCTAGGAACTAGTCTCCTGCATCATTTGCTAGAGCATGAAATGAAGCCACCAAGGCAGGGTCCCTCAGCAGAGGGAAGCCATGTGTGGGTGGGATGGGATGGGAGATGTGGACTCCTGCAATAGCTGATGCCTAAATGCAAAAGGCAAGGAGTCTGGGCTAGAAGTCCCTCCCTTCCTCACCTCTCCTCAGTCAACAGACTCCCGTGGCAGGCAGTTTGCCTGGAAGGTTCTAGAAGCAAGGGCGTCAGGGCTGTGGTCTTTCTGTACCACCAAGACTACTTCCTTGGAGATGAGGTCCATTCAGCTTGACTGTGAGGGGAAGTGGCCTGTCTTGTTCCAGCATCGTGAGCCTGAGGACAGGAGGCTGAGTGGTTACAGGAGTACTGTTTGTCCTTCACACGTGCGCGGCCTTTTCAGTCTGGGATTTATCCTAATGACCTTCACACAGAGAGGACCCACCTGTGAGCTCCCCCTCATTAATGGACTCTCAAGTCTATTAGCATTTTCTGAGCATCCACTAGCCTCTCCTGGATTGTAAGCTACATGGTGGTTCCGGAAATAATCATGCCCCCATGGTGAGTAAGTATGAACTTCCCAAAGGCCTCACCCTCGCTCTCCCTGTTTCCTTTAACGTTAACATGGTCAGGCTCCTCCCAACCCATCTCAGCTTTGCACCAGAGGGAGGCAGCTCTGGAGCGCAGGCGTCTTACTGACCCGTGGAATTCGTGGATGGTTTGCTTCTTAACTTGCAGCAGGGGCTCTTGGCAAGTGAGAGGCTAAGATCAGAATTTCCCATCTATCGTCTCTTTGGCCCTGGGCCATTTTCTTTGCCTCTAGAAAGTGGAGAGGAGGAGGCCAGAGTCTTACATTCCTTGAGTCGCTCTGGAACTTTAATTGTGTTTTCTCTTGGTCATGTGCTAAAAGGATGTGTACAGACAGCCAGGTGAGCCAGTGTCCCAGGGGACAGCTGGGTGATTCCCTCAACGCAACATGTGGACAGAGTCTTTACCAGTGATATGGCCCTATAAGTTGCTTTTCTTGATCTGCCCTTTGGCAGGTGCTTAGGTTGTGGGATATTACGATCACTTGCCGTCAGAGTGATCACTGCCCCACACAACAAGCGTCTGTCCAATTCTCCCCTCCAGCCTTACAGCACCACCCCAGGGGCTTTCAGTAGGTCATCAGGGCTTCCTTCCTTCTTGGTTTTCTTGTAGCAGGATCCGGGGATTTCCAAATAAATTTGAATGCGTTCTCACTCTCTTGCCCTTCCCTTTCACAGACGAATATGACGACAAGCAGCCACTGACCAGCAAAGAAGAGGAGGAGAGGCGCATTGCAGAAATGGGGCGTCCCATTCTGGGAGAGCACACCAGGCTGGAAGTGATCATCGAAGAATCCTATGAGTTCAAGGTACGCGCACCAGCATTGCCCACCAGGGAGGCCAGGCCCATCTCTGCACCGAGACGGTTCATAGCGTCAGTCTATGCTGTACGAGAGGCAGATGTAATTTCAGGAACTGGCTCGTTGATGGGAGAGGCCTTTAGAGCAGAAATGGGATTCGCGAGTTGCTAGGGAAACAAGAGATCCTATAAACTAAACGGTGTCAGAACCAGGGTCTGGTGGGTGGCACGCATCACTGTGCGAGGTCAGAGGCGCCCTAAAGGGAGGGCTTTGGATAGCAAGGAAGAGGCAAAGATGGATTCCAAGAGACTGTTAATGTGTGGAAGAAATGGTGCTTTGTTTGAAAAAGCTAATCAATCTAGTAGAAGCAAAGCCTTGACACTGCGGAAAATGAGGCTTTTGTTTTGGAGGAAGGATGGTAAGCTTTCCCCGTGGAACATGCCATTGACGAGCTTATATTATGTAGTCACCTTCTTAAGATCCTAGGACACTTGAGCACAATCAACAAACTGAAGGCAGAGTGCCTGTAACTGGAGGGTTTATAACTGCCCTGATGAAATTGGATTTCCAGTTCTCTAGATGAGGAAAGTCATTTTTCAGAAGGTAAGCAGATGGGCCTTAGGATGAGCTTAGGACTTTGAGATGAACCTTTTGGACCCCTCTTAGCTGCTCCCTCGGCCCCTGCCCCAGCTCCCATCCCTTTTCACTCACGTGGTCCTCACACCTAGAAGCCCCCGGGGGAGCCGCACCTGCGTTCTGTAGTGGGACATGAAAAAGAGCAGCCTCTCTCTGGTTTTCCAGAACGACAAGCCAGAGCACAGCAGCATTTTCCCCACTTATTTTTTTTAAAGCAGATTCTGCTCCTGTTTGGAAAACCAGAATGAAAATTCCCAAAGGGAGAATCAGGTCACCAACCTAAAAGCCTCAGGATCGTATCTGGAGTTTTCACAGTAGTGGCTTCTTTACCTTTTGCTGGGCCCGTTCAGTATTTTTCTAATTTAGTTCACAAATGAAGGTGCCTGAGAGGCGACAGGTGGAAAGAAAAATGTCTTTGCAAATTAAAGTGGCATTTAAAAGATAAACAACACAATTAAACTTTCCCCTTCAGGCCACTGTGGATGTATGTGTTAACTCCTCTCATTCGTTCCCACAGAAAGAAAGAAGAGGGCAGACCCTGGGACTAGTGCTTTCTAGGCAGACCCCCACCATCAGAGCCCACCTGGCGTTTCATCCAGAACCTGGCTCGCTGCACACACTTGACTGGTATATGCACAAGTTCCCTGAGATTCCCGAGGCACGGATATCTGAGACTGTCCATTTCTGTGGACCAGTCTGTTCCCGTCTCCATCTTCACTCTTTGTCACGCACCCTCTTTTCACCTGGAACCAGAGGGCATGGTGCCACTTGCGACCACAGAGATTCTACAGCTTGGCATTTTCTGTAAACGCTTGTCCCCCACCCCTCCCAGGACTCTCATGGGGAATGATTGTATGCCCTCTTCCTCACGGGACCACCCCGAGCACTTCCCTTCCATGCACCCGTGACCAGGAAGAGAAATCACGGTCACTTCCTGTAGGAAGGGTACAGCAGGGCACAGTCTTCTAGGCATAAAAGTTTTCTTGTGTCCAAAGCTCTCTTTGGTAACCACTGCAATGATCCGAGCATTTGAAAGTCAACCAAGTCTCTCTCCATAAGTCCAGTTGTTTGGGGTACTTATCTTCCTAGAATATCTTCCCTAGACTGTTTCCTCCCATCTGCTCAAAGTTCATCAGGACAGTTACTGGTAACACTGAAGGGTACCTTGGGGCATGTTTCTGAAATGCCCTGTAGCATCGATGTTGATATCATATTATTTGTTTAGGAAATTTTTTCTAGACCATAGCCGTTTTAAAGAAATTGTTCAAAGCCCTCAGAACTGCATTAAAGACCCAAATCTGGCTGATACCTCACAATGTCCGAGTCTGCTTTGCCCACTGGGTTCTTGTTCACTATGTTGTGACCAAGGGCTGGACTATTCTAACACCCATGGCTGAGGTTAAAACTATTGCTACAGACTAGCACCGTGAAGAGCTAATGACTGACATATAGGAAACCTCCAGGTCAGTGTCCATGGCAAAGTTCAAGGATCAAATTTCAAATTCCTCCTCTCCTCCTATAGGTCCTCTCCTATTCACGCCTCTCCTCCTATAGGTCAAGAGAGGACACATATGTAAATTAAGTCCAGGGAAGAGCCCAGGCTGTCTCATAGTCCGCCAGGGTTAACATGAACTAAAGTTTACAATCTACCCGAGGTTTTATATATATACATTATATATACATATATATACATTTTATAATATACATTTTAAGTTTAGTTTATCTTAAAACTTTGTTCTTCAGAGAGATTTTCTGAGGCGAGTCTGTGTTTAACTGTTAGAGCAGTTTCACTCTTCAATTATTTATCCCCCAGAAAGTGGGATTCTCTGCCTTGGCTTTAGAGTAAAGAGGGCTTCCTTGGAGAGACCTGCCCCAAGTTTCCATCACATTTAGGAAAAGTCAAGGTTATTTCTTGTTACATTCTACACAGGGGCTTCCCTGGTGGCACAGTGGTTGAGAGTCCGCCTGCCGATGCAGGGGACACAGGTTCGTGCCCCGGCCCGGGAAGATCCCACATGCCGCGGAGCGGCTGGGCCCGTGAGCCATGGCTGCTGAGCCTGCGCGTCCGGAGCCTGTGCTCCACAACGGGAGAGGCCACAACAGTGAGAGGCCCGCGTACCGCAAAAAAAAAACAAAAAAAAAAACAAGAACTTTGATTTGGCATCAACCGAGACACTCAGAGTGCTTGATGAGATTGGCCAAGTCCAGAGAAAAGTCAGATGCTTGTCATGTGCCTCTGGCTATGGCAGCCAAGAGCCCTGATGGTTACAGCTATTATCAGTGGCACTGGCAGTTCTAGACACAAAGCTAGAGGCCAAAAGGTCACCACCATAAGGACAAACAATCTAGCAAAGGATGATGTTGAAAATACAGAGTGGGCCAGTTGGAGATGGGCCCTTTCATGTTTATTATCATCTCAGTGTTTCAAGTCAGTTGCAATGACGGTTGAACGAACACACTTGACATTCTGATGTAGCTTTGGCCTTCTGCACGGGCCCCTGGGATTGCATTTTCCTTCCTCCCGGTTAGCTAATAACACGCTCTCTCAAACCTTAGTCAATTCAGGGACACTGCACTAAACATGTACAGATTTTGACCTAAGACAAATAATACGTGTTTTCTGACTCTTTGCAATAAGTGGGAATTCGAGGATGCTCTGACAGTAAGGGTGGGGCACGTCGTGGACAAGTCGGTGTGGTCGTCTCTCTGGGAAGAACAGCTTCACGTTCCGGAAGTGACCCTTCTCCCTGTAATTGCTGTGATTTGTGGTAGCGCTTTGGGTGCATCTTCTTACTTAGTTTTCTTGTGAACGCTTGACTGCTTCTGCGGTTCCGTGAACTGACATTCATTTGGAAAGCTAACAGTGCTAATTGTACGGAAGCAAGTGCCTAAACAAGGTCTTAAAGAAAAAGAAAAAGAAGAGGCTCAGAGCTAGTAAAGCAGGGGGAGATTCAGTGCAAGGTCATTGCAGTTTGCCCTGAACCATACAAATTGACTGTTTTTGTCTTTTCTTGTTTGCCGCAGGAGTCAGGTGAGATGAATTCTCTACCAGCCACCAGGCTGACAAAACCAGTAGCCACAGGAAAATCCATTTATTAATGATCATACAGCAGCAGCCTTGACGCTTTGCTGTCTGGCTGCATTTCATTGATCAACAAAAGTATAGTAAGAACAGGTTTTAGTTTCGTCATCTCTCTACCGCTTCCAGTTATCCACCGATAGGTAGTGCTGAGCAGGGCATAGGTTAATTCAGTTGCAGACACACACTCTAGATGAAGCCAGGAGAGAAGCAAGTTCATGAAGCGTCCGAGGGAAAGGGATGGGCTTTTGCAACATCCTCAGTTGTAACCGGTGAGGCTATTCTTCCTTGGCTATTAGGCAGTGAAGGAGGCTTGTATTTGCTATGAAGAAGTTTCCATTTCAGGATGTTTCCAAGAAAGGACAATGCTTGTTTGCATAATCGTAACAGTGTTTGATGTCAATACTGTTGCTCTGAGCCTAACATCTGCTACCCTTTAGATAACTCGGGGGTTTTAAAATCATCAAGGTCTGAGATTTCCCGAGGCCTTAACCAACCCGACAATTATTTTCTGATTCTTTTCAACCTCTCTAGAGTACCGTGGACAAACTTATTAAGAAGACAAACCTAGCCCTCGTGGTTGGGACGAACAGCTGGAGAGAGCAGTTTATCGAAGCGATCACTGTCAGTGCTGGTGAGTGCTTTTCTCTGCATATTATTAATGATAATGTCCCGAGCTTACTTTTCCTGCCGTCACCACTTGGTCTAGGCCAAAGCACCAAAGATTCTCCATGATAAAATTAAAAGAGAAATAAATGTATTTGTAATGTACATGCACATTTTGGGGACGAATTCAGACTTTCTAAGATGAAGCAAATGTCTTCAAACAGGACATCCTTCTCTGTCTACATTGCGTCTTTCTCTCTGGAAATAGACAAGATAAATTTAAAGCCTACTGTGTCTCTTACTCATGGATAGCCAATCACAGGGTTTATCTGGAAAATTCCCTGAGAGCAGGAGAAGTGACTAAGTGCAGGTCAGAAAGGAACCATCAAAATCATAGGTGGGACAGGGTGACGTTAAGACACTTCACCACCATCATCTGCATCATTTTTCACTCTCTTCAACAACATCTAACAAATAAGTGTTTGCACTGGCTCTGGAAGTGAAAATAGAATCACATTCTGTTTCTTCCTATACAAGCAAAGTGTGGAGTTTTATTTAGGAAGATCCTATAAAATGAAGAGGGTTGCAAACTCAAGGAGCCAGACACCTGAGGAAATTAAATTCAGAAAGAAGTATCCCTTTTCTGTGTCACCAAACCTTGTCCACTCTCTGTGTGATTGTAAAAAGGCGGAGGAAAGCCCCTTTCAACGATTCAGGAAAGCAACACTCTCATGGGATTTTCTGGTTTTCAGTTCTTCTGTTTCATTTCCACTGGTTCTTTCTCTTTAAAGATCACCGCAGGCTCATTTTCTACTCTTGCAGCTAATGAATAAAACTAGAATTTTCTAACTAGTGTTTCCCAGACTGGAAAATATGGAAACAGCGTCACTAGCGGTTGGGTCATGACTTCTAACACAACTCCGTCTTTCCAATCTGCCACAGAATAATTTGACAGATCTCCCAAGTACTGTGGGAACAGAGGGTGATAAAAAACGTTTGTGCCTGTTTATTATTAGTGCTGTTAATAATCACACTTTGGTTTCTTGCAGTAGAGTATACAGTGGAAATTTATGAACAGTAAATGATGAGTAATTGCTTAGGGGAGTAGATCTGAAATGTACGCATAAGTTCTAATGGAGGTGGGGACTCCGTGTCTCAGTCCTTTTGGACTGCTATGACAAAATACCACAGACTGGGTGACTTGTAAACTACAGAAACTTATTTCTGGCAGTTCTAAAGGCTGGAAGTCCAAGATGAAGGCCCTGGTAGATTTGGCGCCTGGTGAGAGCCTGCTTCCTGTCTCATAAGCTTCTCACTCTGTCCCCACATAGGGGAAGGGATGAGGGAGCTCTCCAAGGTCTCTTTTATAAGGGCATTAATCCCATTGATGAGGATCTAATCATCTTCCAAAGGCCCCACCTCTATATAACCATCTTATTGAGAATTAGGTTTCAACATATGAATTTGGGAGGGATGCAAATATTCAGTCTATAGTACTCCCTCATTATGGCTTGTATTTTTTCTATAAATCTAAGATTAATACCTGAGGCGTGAGCTATATTCCTTCTTCGTAGAGAGAACAAAAACTAAAGGGACAAAGATAACTTGAATAAGAAACTGTTGACAAGGCCAGTGGTAGAAAATATTGAAAAATAACCAGGGCTTCCCTGGTGGCGCGGTGGTTGGGAGTCCGCCTGCCGATGCTGGGGATGCGGGTTCGTGCCCCGATCCGGGAGAATCCCACATGCCGCAGAGCAGCTGGGCCCGTGAGCCATGGCCGCTGAGCCTGCGCGTCCAGAGCCTGTGCTCCACAATGGGAGAGGCCACAGCAGTGAGACGCCCGCGTACTGCAAAAAAAAAAAAAACAAACAAATTATTTTATGGGCTTTGACATACTAGAATTGAAACACTAAAAGCAGCATAAGCCTTAACAGACCATTTCTAATAGTTTCCAGGTTTCCTTTGACTGCAGATATATGAGTATTTGTACGATGGTCATGAGCTGGACCTCATTCATTCATTTTTCTATATGTCAATCATTCATTGTTCTTGCTGAGAAGGCTATGGCAGTGAATGAAAAAGACAAATAACCCTGCATGAAGCTTACCATCTACTGGCAGGAGACAGCAAATAAGTAAAATAAGCAAGAAGTCAAATAAGGTGTCTGTACGATGGTGAGCTAGTCATGGAGAACAACAAAGCCATGGAGGGAGACAGGAAGTGTGCATAGAGGCTGCATTGGATGGTAGCCAGAAAGACGCCATCCATAGACACGTCGTTGCTGAATTTGCTTTTCTAGCCATGGAGTGGTTTGTGTTGGTTCATTCACACATTTTTGTAACTTTCAGGGACCAAGGTAAACATTTTATGTCCAGTCTATGGCAATGGAAAAGGGTGGTTTTAAACAGCAAGAGTGATCATGCTGCAAACAAAGTTGTGTATTTGCTCCTGGTTAGAATAGGTATACAGAGAAACAACTCTAAAGATGCTAAGACATTCTTACTTTAAAGGGGAAGATTTTGGTTGGCCAGTACTTTCTTATGTTGAATCAAATGCTCTCGGAATCTCATGAGGTCAGTATTATGATCATCCTGACCTTCTGGAGGAAGAATCTGGGCCTCAGCAAGGCAACTTGCCTTTGGAAGGTATAGCCCAGAGCCCTGATCTACCAAACACTAGTCCAATGTGCTGTCCACTGCCCTGAAGAGCGAGACATTTCCAAGTGAGGAAAATTGCTCCTCCCATCTGGCTCATGGAGTGACGCTGGCCTCGTCACCTCTCCTGGTGCCATGGTTTCAGCACTTACATGATGAGAATAACTCCCACTCAGATCCTCTGAAGAACGGTTCATGAATGAAATGCCCAACCTCTCAAAGGTTCTTATCGATCATGCAATATATTCTGTTTTATGTTTCTAAGTGACTGCTTGGGAACAAGACAAAATGGCTCAGAAATTTGCAGGCTGCTGGGTAAAATGGATCTTCTTTACAATTTTGAGACAAAATATCAGAGAAGCAAACCCATAGCTTATAGCCATTAAATTACATGAAGGGCAGTTAGGAAGCTTAGTTGTTGTCATTACGATTAAATTTAAGTCTCTAAAGAATGTTACTATTCTTGGGTTGTTAAGTAGACAATACAATTTGTAAAGCAGTATTTCTTGAAAACAGACTTTCATTGGATTTTAAGATTTCATGGCTAAATAGTTGAGAATCAGAAACAGTTGCCTTATTAAAAATGTTAAATTGCTTTTAAATGTCTCTACTGGGAGGCTTTTTCCTGTGCAATTTTCTGTGCAAAATTGAGACGATCTATCTTGCTAAACAAAAGTAATAATTTTATAACTAGGATTTTGCTTCTGTTTCCCACTGATTATATTTAAGCTAATTTCAAGGTAACCCCCTGGCTGTCTTTTGGTCCTCCTGTCTTCTCTGAATTTCATAGCTCAGTCCCTGGGCCTCCTATGACCATAATGTTTCTGTAAACCAAGTTCTTATAGTTCAATATTTGAAGAGTTAAAGGACTTATGAGACTCAAGGGATTAGGAAGGGATTATATAGTCATGTCCTGGCAGTTCTCCTTCTGTCTTTCCCTGCGTAGAATACCAGGAGCGGTAGCGGTAGTTAAATGCCTGTCAGAAATTTACAAGGCAAGTCTAGTACCATCAGGTGCTTTTTTTTTTTTTTTTTTTTGGCTGTACGCGGACCTCTCACTGTTGTGGCCTCTCCCGTTGCGGGGCACAGGCTCCGGACGCGCAGGCTCAGCGGCCATGGCTCACGGGCCCAGCCGCTCTGCGGCATGTGGGATCTTCCCGGACCGGGGCACGAACCCGCGTCCCCTGCCTCGGCAGGCGGACCCTCATCCACTGCGCCACCAGGGAAGCCCAATCAGGTGCTTTAAGATGTGGCAGCCGATGTATTTCCAAGGGAAACCAGCACTCACTGTGTGTCTGGTTTGAATTTCCCCCAGTGCCGCCATCTTTCTAGTGTCTCGGCTAGGGCAGAACGGAGGGTTGGCTTTAAGAGACTGTGGACCAGCTGGGCTACGAGGGAGAAACAGATGTTTCAGGGAAGAGGGCAAAGGTTAGCTGGGTAAAGAGAACCAGGATGCCAGTGCCAGTTCCACAGCCGGAACATTGTTGTTCTTTCCAGCAGCCTTGGGTGGTGGTGAGGTGAAGGACAGAGTGATGGCAAGCCTGGCTTTGGAGTAAGATGTGGATTTGTGTCCCAGACCTCCAAAAACTCCCTGGGTGACTCTAGGCAGATTCCTTCCCCTCTAAATCTCAGTCCCCTCGTGTGTAAAGTGGAGAAAACTGTTCCTCACTCATGGAGTTGCCGTAAGGATTGATCCAGGCAGCGCGTATTTTCACAAGGACTGTCTGTGCATTGGGGCAGCACCGTTGGTTATTTGAGAGGCAAACTTCTTGAATATTCTACGATAAAATAGAACCAAATTTTGTGGAAAGGCAGTCAATTCAGTTTAATTACTAAAAAGGCTAGGGGACTAAAAACACTGGTTGACCTTTTTGCTTTGTAGTATTACACATGCCGTTTGATAGATAAGGCGAGTGAGATTCAGGAAAACAATGTGACGACTTGCCCAAGATGCCAAAGCTGGTGAATGTCAGCGCTGGGGTACATGTCGGCCTGGGATTCTCTTCTGGGTGAGAAGTGCACTCACTCGCTGTGCCTGAGTCCTGAGCACACACACACATGCACACACACACACATAGAACACCTGTAGACATACATACGCAGATGCATGCAGACATGTATGTGTGCATACATGCAGATACACAAAACACAGGCACAGAGACAGGCACCTTATATGGCCTGTATCTTTATTCATTTGCATAACTGAGCTGCAGATTGAAATATGAAGGGTTTTTCTTCCCCTTAATATTTGTTAAATCTCCTTAAGCCCAGCTCATGTTTCCTTCAGGGAAGGCACCAGTCAATTCTCTAAAGAGGGAAGTGTTTGTTTCCCTAGGTGCATCTGTAGTCTTCTCCTGCCTAGTAATTGGTGACA